GAAAGTTTCAAGGAAAAATACTCATTACTTTACTCAAAAATAAATACTATATCCCTGGAAATGTGGCAACATTTGATTGTTCGTACGACGTTCTTCCTAAATACGGCGGAATAGCCGGTGTTGGCGTTGAAAAGTGTTGTAAACCTCTCCTTCAACTGCGCCGTCGTCTTGAGTCAACATGGGAACTCCTGAATCTTCATAAAAAAATCGTGCTTCCTCAGAGCACACTTTCTCTGAGGATGGAGTACTACTGAGGGAATGAGGCAGAATTTAATGAATTCAATAGGATAAATCTGACTTTAACTTAATATCTTCACTTAAGTGGAAATAAAAAAATTGTTGACTTGAAGTGGATTTCAGGTCCTACCTATTTGTGATTTTCTATTCGTAGTTTAACTTTTAGGGTACAGGTTCTTTCAGTTTCAGGAACAACGCTTTTACCGGGAAGACATTTTTACTGGAACCGAAATAATTGATACAAAAAAGTGACATTGTAACCATGACTAAAATAGAGGATAGAACCTAAAATCCACTAAGAGCAATGTAAGAATAATGATATTTTTTCTCCATGTGATTTTCCGACAGACCTATTTAGAGACGCAAGAGGAGGGACTACAGATTTTGGAAATCTTGCTGGTAAATCATGGAGCTACATTATTTTTACTCATAAAAAATATGCCGAGAGAATAAACCACCTCACCCGGATCCTGAAAAAACTAATTTAGCGAAAAAATAGAGAATGTTATAGTGAGACATCCATTATTAACGCTAATATATATTAGTCATGAGGTTTCAAAGAATAATATGCTGAAATATTCTTGCCACAACTTTTTCGCAAGGGTCCATTAAAAAAAAACATGATTCCTGAATTGGGTATCAACAATGAATTTTTAGATCAAGTACATTCCAATGGTTTGACAAAAATTGGAGATATTAAAATGCAGCGCGTGGTTTCACTCAAATTCTTTCTAGGTTCAGAATACAGCAGGTCAATAATATTAACAAACAAGGGCATACAATTGAACATCTTACTCCTTGCACTCTGACTTCTTCACATTACTCTCCTTAAATGATTTCATTTGTAAAATGATGTTGGAAATAAGGAAAAAGGGAGACTGAATTTTTAACGGACACCAGAAAATGAGAAGCAAAATTAGTTATGAAAATGATCTGAAAAAAAAAATTCAGAGGGAAGAAAAAGTTAAGGGAACACATTCCGTCATATGTTCACTCTCCACCTCCTAAATCTTTAAAAATGTATTTTTATACTTATGAACAATGAAAGATTTACCTAATTTCCCAATCCTATTCTTATCCTCGGCGGAGACGTTTTCATGGGAAAATCGAAAAAACTTGAGAAAAGGCAATCTTTCATCTAGAGATTTTGACCTCAAAGTTTTGCTGCAAGAATCATAAAACTTTTAACGACAAAGTAGGCTGGCTCACGCGTGAGTACACTGTTCAATCAAAGAAAGGCAGGAGCGACAAGGAAAAGGAGATATTTTTTAAATTCTGGGTAACACGTGTGTCAAAGTGGAGGCACGCTCTCCTGGAATCACCCGAGTTTCCTTCTTGCTTCGAAAAGTCCATTCCGGCAAATTATACAAACTTTCTAAGCTCAAATGAACGAATAGGAAAAAGCATTCGGAAAGAAGAGGATACTCTAATCGTGACAAATACTTCCACCCGAGTTTGATTCCGCCTCGAAGGGAATCGAATGTTTGCTTTCATTCCGCAGTTCTTTTTTCACTCCTAGGATTGGAGCTCCAATTAACATACCGAATACACGAGCTAAAACCGTTTTTGAAAATATTCAACATTTCAACTGGACGTGCTATGCTAAATGGACGTAATACTATCAAATGGAACTATGTGCTTGAAGGCATGAGCCCTGATACCCATAAGAACATATGCATTACGGGGCTCACGTCACAATGCACATAGTTCCGTTTGATAGAAATACGTCCAAATGGAACTATGTGCAAGTGGAAAGATGGGGTGTGCTCATTAGTTGAGGGCCATCAGAATGGACGAGGATTTTAAATCACCAGTGACGTCAGCAGCAACGAAGCCGCCTTCATTGTCGTTTTTGTTCGGCTTTAACTCATGAGCCCTGTCCACAATGCTCTTGTCACATGCCCACGGCTCACGAGTTAGCGCTCAGTTCCTTTTGATTGAATGTCAAGTCCCGCTTTTCCATTTTCTCAAAAGGAACCATATCCACTTTTACATTGTTTCTTATCCAGCTCACCACGAGCACACCCCATCTTTCTACTCACACATATTTCCTTTTAGTATAAATACGTCCAACTGATTCAACATATAAGAGAAAATTACAAATTTAAAACCAGCAAAATTTTGCATCGGTGTCGAACCATTGTTTTAGACAAGATAGACTCATTTGGATGTGCACTCGTAAACTTTACTGCTGATGGAAAGACAGCGCGAAACTATTGGAGTTCCCTTGGCTGGCGAAGACTGTACATTTGAAGCGTTCTGAAAGCGGAGGATGAAATAGGTGATAAAATAAAAGGAGCTTGCTTCGTAAGCGAATTACGTTGCATCATTTATGTAATTTCCACTTGTGCATGCCGGAGCGATAGGAAGCCAAAAGTTTGCGATACAAAGTTGCTGACAAGATGAGTTGTGATGCGTCGTAGCAGTTCTGATCGTGCAACCAATCGAAACAGCTTTAATAAAAGGACAAAATTATGGGACCGGGTCTCGAGATGGTAAAGCTGAGCAGTGAAACAAGTTACGGGCTTCCTTGGCGTCTGTAGGTATACTGCCGCGTTAAGAAAAAACGGAGTATGAACCTTCAGTCGTTGCTAAATTTCCTAGAATAAAACACCAATTTCCCGGTAAATTTATGAATATTTACCTACCAATTTTTCAGATAATTAAGTTCGACCCAAAGATTCCGAAAACTTAATGGAAAAATATTCATAACTTTCCTCAAATATAAATATTTTATCGAAAATAATTTGGCAACTCTTGAATGCTCCTACGGCGTTCTTCCTTGGCATGGCAGTATAGCCCTATAAGCACTCTGCTCCTTCAAAGTTATAGAGGTCAGTTATATATTTCTCAGATTCTATTTGACATTTTGGGGCTTTTATTGGCTATAAATGTCCTAAAAACACCATTCTAAATGCTTCTTTATCAAAAACAAAATTTCGAGTATGGTGGACTTGATCGCTCTCCTCAAATACGTACTGCGCAAACGGGTCACAACAATTGGAATACCTAATACCTAATAAATTATTCCTGACAATTGGAGGTTTGGAGGACAAGGCGTATAAGTGCAATTTTTGCAATTTCGAGAAATACGTGTTTGAATTTTCAAAATCACGTGGAGCCTTCTTGACGGAAATGAAGCTTAAACTCACTTTTCGATGCTCTAAAGTTGGATTTTACTTCTGAATTTGTCACAGACTGTAGTTTTAAACTAGTTTTAGTTGAGTTCATAAATATCTCAATTTTTTAAAAAACTGCACTTATACGCCTTGTCCTCCAAGACCCTTAATTTGAGTTCATAGTTTGGCTGCCCTTCTAAGAAATTATTCATGACCTCAGTTACCAACACGTCCGTACTCTCCACAAATAGGTACTCTATTTGCACCCAAAAAAAAGGAGTAGAGGAAGAGGAAGAAAAAAAGGATGGAAAAGGACGTAAAAGGATGAGAAAAGAGATACTCCTCTTCAAGAGTATTTGCATAATTTCTACGTATGCACAATGCTCGAGTGTCTTTCAAGTCACCTCTAATGAAAACAACTCAAAACTTTCCGGGAAGTATGTGGGCACTAAGGCTTGAAAATATTTTTCTCACTTTTCCCGCGAAACCCTGAAGAATGTGGTTGTTAGGTGTAACGGAACGTGCCCAAGTGCTCTTGCAACTCCGTGCTAATTTCTTTTTGCAGGACGCTTGAGGAGTGCTCTTGAAACTATTGCGTGTCGCTCTGGCAGTTTTAAAAATACATGGAGAGATACCTTCAAAATAGAGGTTGAAACTTTTTCTCACTCTCGCAATGACTTTTATAAAACAAAAACGAACGTAAATCAATTTATAGGAAGTTCGTTGTGTCTCTTCGCCAGAGGTCTTTTGAGGCTATCGATGAAATACGAAACGTTAGCAGGGAGGGCAGGGGGTCTTCAATCGCGTCACACTTTTTGGAGAGGACATGGCGACAAATTTTAATAGTTTTCACTTTTAAAAAAAAATAGCAATTGTATTTAATTTCCCGCGGCTAGGCCTCCTATGTCGATGGTGGAACTACAAAACAACGTTTATCCTGTCAATATTTTGCTTTTTGAGAGATAACCTATCATGGTTTTTGCAAACTTTAATTTGATATTCCTCTGCTTCTTCAAAAAGAATTTCTCGAAATCTCGAATGAATATATTTTGTAATATTAAGAATATATTTTGTAATATTATGAATGTATTTTGTAATATTTTCCTAGTTATAAAATTAGATATGAATGTAAAGAAACGCCGCAATCGTAGAGTGCATAGTTTTTGTTTGTTTGTTTGTTTTTTTGTTTCACCGTTGATTTATATTAGCAACACTTCGGTTTGCAACACTGTAGACCTCATACCATGGTTTCTGACATTTTATTTCCGACTTTAACAATAACTCCACATAATTTCTTGAAAACTTCCTTAGTTTTCCTCTCTGTAAAAAATATCCTTTGAAACTAGCAATTCACTATCGGTTCATTTTCTTTCGATAAAATAAAATAGGAGTATTTTGAAATTTTTGTAAAACTTTTTCTTACCGATTTTTCTAAAAATTCTTGTTGATACTTCACTACAGCTGTTTCAAGCTAACGCTCAAAACTAGCTCGAAACAGCTGTAGTGAAGTATCAACAACAATTTTTAGAAAAATCGGTAGGAAGAAGTTTTACAAAAATTTCAAAATTTGATAAAGTATGGCCGATAAAGTTAACAACAGAAGTGAAAATAGGAGTAGACATTTTGAAACAAAATACACGTGTGTACAGTTTTACCGTTATTATATTTACATTCACTTTAAGAACAAGCATATTTTTGAATCTTACATTACTATATAATCACAAAACATCAGGAAATTAATAGTTCTCGGTCGAATTTTTCAGGAGAAGAAGACTATTAATTATTTATAATCACATATTATACATCAAATTTCTTCAATGCATCTATTTTCAAGTCATTTATGAAGTGAAAATCAAAATTTTGATCAATCATGAACTGGACGATCTTGGTTACGTATTGAGTTGCCTCTTCACCTCCAGTTTGAAGTCTCATTTGGATAAATGAGTCCATGTCCATCTTACTCCAATCCTCGTCCGCTGGTTTTTCACCCGGTAGCATCATCGGTAGGAAAAAGCTAGCGTGAGCGTAACCATAGAAACCACGTCTTCGAAGGTCAAGCTGGAAATCTTCGAAAGTGGGAGATTCCCTCGGATTTAATTCTGAATTAGACGTTAGAGACGTATAATATGTTTGCAGGATTTCCATCCAGTGGTCAGACCTGACCTCTGGTGAGGAGTTCATGAACAAGTAGAAAGAGAGGTCGATCGCGGGTGACGAGTATCTGAGGGTAGCCATGTCGAAAAAAATCACCGCACAAGGGGCTCCATTTGCGTCGTACTTGTAGAAAATATTGTTCCTGCAAAAATCGCCGTGGCAAATCACCGATAAGGGCTCATACGGAACGACTATTTTCGCCATGGAGAGATTGGTTCTCTCAACCAGCGCCGACAAATCTTTCAGCCTGTCTTTGTAGTTCGGATTATTTTGAAGGGGAAGAATACCCCTTTTGCAGTTCTCTCTGCAAAACGCATCGTTTTTAGTCAACTTTTTCTCTGTCCAGTGACTCTCCGATATTTTTGAGACGATCTCCTTGAATTTTTTCGAGAATTTCTTTTTACAAACCAAGGACGTTGCATGAAACTTACCTAGCCACTCGAGAGAGAGTTTTATGTGAGCGTAGTCGTTGAAAGCCTTCCACGGTGACAGTTTGTAACCGAGTTTTTGGACATTTTCAAAAATTAGGAGGTCTTGCATCGGGTCGCCATCGACGATGTGTGCGTAGAAACATCTCGGGAAAATCCCTGAAATTGTGCCGCTGGGATCACATTGACAAAGAAGCGGTAAGATTTCTGTATAAAACAAGAGCTCGTTGTGAAGCTGGATATTGAACGAGAACAAGTCGCATGCATCCGTGAGCTTGCCCCCTGCTTGAGCTTTTACCACAACACTCTGCGTCACGCGGTCCCCAGATTCCGTTTCTGAAATGACGTCACCGAAATATATACTCGACGCGAATTGGTCGGCGGCGGCATAATTTTCATCACTCTTAAATTCCAAAAATTTGACGACGTTTTGACCAAAGTGTTTTTCCCTCACGGCTTTCGGCAATATCTCCGACCTTAGCCTTTCCAGCACGGACATTTCGGAAGCCGTGCTTACATTCGATGAGAGTATTTAGAATGTGATTCTGATAGGTCTCAGGTAGTCTGTCTGTAAGAAAACACTGATCAATTACATTTTACACGATACAAAATGATGGCGCACTAAATTATGCAAAGAACGACAGGTTTATAAGTTCTTAAGTTTTTGAAATAAGGTTTTCTAAATTTCCTAGTTAGCCGGTATATTTCATTAAAGTTGACTACGTCGAGAGGTGAATTCCATCTTAGACTAAAGCCTGCTGGTGAAACAAAAGTTCTCGTTAGGAAGGCCCAAAAATCAAATTTGACGTTTTAATACACTATAATGACCCAATTCAAAAGAATTTTTAGCGTTTCGTTTCATAGCACCGCACTGATTTAAACTTTCTTTCTTTCTTCTTTAAACGAGCACTCTTGGGTTTACTGTTCAATCTACATTTCTTTCAGATTTTTCGAACTGCCTGTTTTGGGCACCGTTTTACAAGACGAAACTTTTGCTCAGCACTGTGAACGATACTGCTTATCTCCATAGACATGACGAAAGTTCTCAGCGTTTCCCCTTCCTGCCGTCTAACAATGGTTTTATCAGACTACTTGAAGTCATAGTGCTATTTTAATCGCTGAAGTGAATTGGTAGCACTTGTCGAATTGAAGCGATGATACCAATCAGTGCATTTCCTCATGTCATAATTATTTAGGGACAACATTAAAGATCGTTCTTCGTTGACGAAACTTTCAGGATTATGAGCTCAATTTCACTTGAGAAAAATAGTGATGTAAATTTTTGCAACCTCCTCATTCTGAGCCTTTCTCTGCGTCTATGAAATAAAATACCTCAGTTTTTCGAACAGATTGTTGCTGCTACGGAAACAGTTGAGTGGTTCCTGCTTAGTCTGTGACATGGTTTAGAGACACAAAATTTACTTGTACGAAATAAGTGATGGTCCAATTTTGTGGCGCTCGTGCCCTAAACAATCTGGGTAGATTTGACGATTATTTATTTTACACAAAATATTTTTTCAATACCCGCGCTTCATTAAAGAAAATCAACCAACTTTCTCACTATTAAAATTTTAACTGGTGTTCCAGAAAAGACCGAATTTTTAAATAGAACACCTCGATGGAATTTAGCAAAAGAAAACCAACGCGATTACCATGCTCTAAAAATTTGCATCTTCACTTTTACCTCAGAGAATTCTTGGAAAAGCAAATGGTTTTCGTTTTTCTACCGACAAATTGTTAATTTAGGAGAAAAACGACCGTGTAAATTGTGTTTCTGTACATGTTGCACCCCGTTGGCAGAATTTCTCAGTCCGGGATCCAAGCACCTGTTTTACCCCGTCCGCAAACCGCAAACCCTCCGGTATTCTTGCCCAGTCCGTCGACCCGGCAGCCAGTTCGGTGATACCACTATTCGACCACGTGAGCGCCCAAGTTGCCTACACTAAAAGTGGAAGGCGAACTGACATGACGCCTAAGTCACCTCTCCACGTTAGGTAAAATTATATTTTTTGTGCATTCCAAGTAAGTATGCTGTATCACGATGATACCACTATTCGACCTCGGGAGAGTCCATATTGCCTATTCCAAAAGTTGAAGGCGAACTGACATGGCTTTAAAGTCGCCTTTCCAAGTTTGGTAAAAGGATATTCTTCATTTGTTTCCGGTGATTTATAGCACTATTTGTCCAAGTTGACGTCTATTTTCCCCAGAATAAATACACTTCAGCATCATGAAACAGAATTTTTACTCGATTTAAACTTTTTTTCCTCTTTCTCAATCTTCAAAAATTATTATATTTCCACTAATACCATTTATTTTCTTCGGTATTCATTCATAGACTTGTACTTTCCACGACATTTCTCTCCAACAATCTTTTCCCTAGATACACATTTCTTAATTTATTGGCTCAAATATCCATTATTCCTCTCACATTTTAATTTAACTTATTAACCTTGCCAATGTATAGAGATCAAGCTTCTACCGAGGTTTTTTTTTTTTTTTTTTTTTTTTTTTTTTAAAAAGCAAAATAAATAGAAAAAAAGCAGGGTGTTAAGACAAAATTCACGTTTTTATTTTAGGAATGGCTGGACCAGCTTGACGATTGTGTTACAATATAAGGTTAGTTGTAAAAAAAAACTTTACGTAATTCATGAAAAATTCTTTGAGGATTTTAAGTCCCTCTAGTTTTCTTTAATTTTTCATTTCATTTTTGACAATAAACAGAGGCACGGAAATTAAGTTTAAATATACTTAAAATGCCGTTTGAATTACTCATCATTCCTTAAAATTTTTAGTTGTTCTTCGACCTGCGACCCTTTTCAGGTTTCAGTTATTTTTCTCGGGCCCCTGATCTCACACCAAGTACAAAAAAAAAGTAAAAAAAGAAAAAAAATTATAAATTCATTACTGATGTCCATTAGAGCATTCCCTGATAGAACAGAGCACTGAAGTTCGTAATGGTGTTGGAATTCACATTTGCCGGTGTTTATCTCATCTTTTGCGATCGACTCTGCATTTTAGCTTCGCAAGACGCGAACGCAGCCATTGCAGCCGCTTCGCAATACAGCCTTGAATAAGGACACTCACTTCATTGGCCCCTCCCAAAACGAAGACGTCAGCTTGCCGTACATCATCTGAGTCAACGTGTTGGTCTGTGGTTCAAACAGTTGAATAAAGAATTCATAGCGGGAGTTGCATGTTCGGAATCTCGCGACTAATCTCCCATTTTCTAGTGTTTTGCTTTTTTTCCGTCTCCCAGCCTCTGTGAAATCGTCAGTGTCATTGTCAATTCGCGCTTGTGAACGATACACGTATTGCTCATGATAATTGCAGTTGTTTGACGTGAGAGAAACAAACGTGTCCTCAGCGTAATGATAAGTTTGCTCTCAGAGAGAGAGCTGAAGATTTTTTTCGAAGTTAATCCGAAAATATCCCTGAAGCTCGTCTATTTTTCATTCATCAACTATTTCAAGTTTACGTTAGAGGATTTGTCAAGATTACCAAATAATACGGATACAAAATAATATCCGTTAGTATGTCAAGTGCAAATCAACTTTTATCTGAGGTCTTACCTCGCGTCGTGGAGGCAGGGAACTTTGGGCCTGAAAACATTAGATTCGTCGAATTTATCGAGGATAGAAACGACGCCTCCCATGGTGGATTTTGCGCGTCGAATATCTTGTTCGGGAACGTCATCATGGAAAATAGAAACAAGGATCGAACCTCTCAAAGTGTTGTGATCAAAGTGCGTGGCGTCGTTGTCTCGAGCTTTAATTGGTCCTCTGCTCTTCAGTTTTATAATGAGCTATTCTTCTACAGCAAAATAGTGCCCTTTCTCAGGAGATTCGACGACGGACACATACTGGATGAGTATTTCCCGAAGTTCTTTTACGGCGTTGCCACGTTGCAAGAGGACGCATCCAGTGACATTATAATTTTGGAGAACTTGCAGAGGAACGGTTTCAAGCTGGCGCCATCAAGGACTTTTCTGGATTACGAATATATTAAACTGAGCCTTCGAGGTCTCGCAAGGTTTCATTCTTTATCGCTAATAGCTAAAGCGAAAGATCCTGTGGGTTGGAAAAAAATCCTATCGGAAATTCGTGAGACTAAGTGGGCAGGAAAGACGTTTGAATTGGAGTCATCATGTGGTTACTTACGAAAAAATTGCATGAGAGGAATTTTGCCACTTCTAGAGGACCACGAGTACGCTAACAAACTGCGAAACATCTGCGATTTGATCGAGAATCCGACTGACAATGAATCGATGGTAAAAATTGTGAGCCCTATCGAACCGTTGACAGTGCTATGCCACGGTGACTTCTGCAGGAATAATATGTTTTTCCAGCATAATACCGAGGGTGTGCCGATAGATGTGAAATTTTTCGATTTAGGCACTATTCGTCACAGCTCGCCGGCGATAGATCTGTCATTCTATCTATTCATGCACACTTCCCCCGAGATGAGGTCCAGTAAGTGGGATGAACTCATCGCGCTGTATACCGATGCGTTAGAATCTGAACTGAGGCTGAAAAATATCGAACCTCCGTCAAAAGTCGATATTGAGCAGGAATTTCAGCGGCGAGGTTTCTATGGCTATGTACTAGGCAGTTTTTTCTTGCCTATGATGATGGATGATAATATCAAGAAATCAGGGGCAGATAATAACCTCACGTTAGAGCAACAGGTCGAAAATAGAATCCGTACCGGGGGTGAAAGAGCAACTCAATTCGTCTCTGCCATTGTGAAGCATATGATCGATAAAGGTTTCGATTTTAAATACATCTCCAACTTCACCTCAGAAGCTGATGATCCTGAAAGGAAGTGAGTCAGTTGTGATGTTTTACGTCTCCGAGGAGATTTCTGCACTTTTGGCTTTTTAAACAAAAAATATGAAGGTAAATACCATTTATTCATATTAAATATTATTATAAATATGGGATGAAAAACCACACCCTAAGTTTACCCCCATCAAAATTTCACAAAAAACACGGTGATCACTTCAAAAATTCAAAATTAGATATTCAAAATTCGAATCAAAAGTGAGAAATAAGCGTTTTCTGTGATCAGAAATTGAAACTTCCCAATTTTAAAAAAGTAAACAAGAAAAAAAAACAAGTTCGCTTTTATGAAATTGGACGATGGACTAATTGGACGTATTTAAATCAAAAGGAACTACATCCATTTTGACGTGAATCCCGAGGTCTATAGGAAAACGTGAGAGCCACGGCTCATGTCATGGTAGATATATTTCATTACTTTTGATTTAAATACGTCCAATTTCAATGTTCTATGCGATTATATATAATTTCATTAGTTTCCTGAATTCTTCATGTTAAGAGTACTAATATCGCACATCAGAGTAATGGGGGATCTTTGTACGTGAGCGTTTAGATTTACTGATCCCATAATCCCATAAACAAAAACACCAAAAAAAAAAAAATAAATAAATAAATACAATTTTTCTCTGTCAATTTTTTCGAGCTTTTATGTAAGATGTTAAACGCATTCCGCGTAAAATTTGAATAAAGAAATATACCTCTTGTACCTTCAGAATTACTCTTTCCAGTGGTCCATAAAATCGCAATAAAGACTTTTGCGTCCACTGATGGTCAAGATTTGGCAGCGATGAGCGGCCAGGAAGCATACTTGGCATGATGTCCGGCGCGCGGCGTGATGCGGCGCGGCGCACATTGGTTCCAGAGCCCGATCTAGGCGGCATTAATTCGAAAAAATGACTTTTGGAAAAATTGAGAAATAGTACAACTGGTCGACACTACATACTTTGGAGAGTATTTCGGCCAAATATCATGATGATTGGATGAGTGATAAGGAAATGATAAGCCCCTAAAGGTGAGCGCGCAGGCCGTTCTCTCTGCGGCTGTATCCATTTCCTCATTTATCTCATTCGAGTGATGTTCCTAATAGAGGTTTGTTGCCATTTTGGGCAAAGAAACAAGGTTTTGAAGGTAGAATCCTAATATTCAAGTAAATTTGAAGGTTTACGATGCTTAAATCATAACTTTAGATTAAGTCTATGGCTCTAGATAAGCCATTAGACATAGCGCTATTTTACGTTAATTTCGCGAAATTTTCCATATAAATGGCTGAAAACAACTACTTTGCCGGCCTTTGCCGGGTCTCAAGCGGCCATTTCTAGTTAGTACTAATCCTAGGCATGATGTAGATATAAATATCTTTTGCCAGTTTTTGCCTATTTGTGAAATACAGCCTTTTAAAGGTCGCCCGCTCAGCCCTCATGAGTACTGTATGTGGGACGTTACGGGTGGGCGATATCGTTCGACCTCTCAGGCAATGTCAAAAAACTATTTCTCTTATGATATTCATCCAAAGGGAAGTTTATTTAATAGGTTTTCCGAAGAATTACCCAAAAATATCATTTCCATGAACGTGCATAACTCTGAGGAGATCAAAATTTTTCGTGTTAAAAATGATCTACTACTACCAAAACGGCCCAAAACAACTAGGTACTTTGCCGGGTCTCAAGTGGCCATTTCTAGTTAGTACTAAGTAATCCTAGGTAGTAGTCCCTGTACAGAGACAAATATCTTTTGCCATTTGAAGCGAAAAAAATATATTACAACATTTTAAATTTAAGGTTGCTCTGGAATTAAAAAATCAACAGGCATTGCAGTTTCGTGAATTTTTTCCTGCTCACTGGTCAAAATGGTTTGATAGGGGCGACACCCTTTTATTGAATTTTTATACTGCCATTTCTGAAACTGCAACCAGAAGTAGATTCCAAAAACAGATCATGCTGACTGGATGCTTCGTGAAGTTATTCAATGTAACAACACCCCCCCCCCTTCTTCAACAAAAATAACCATCAGGGTCTAAATATTAGTAAAATAGTAGATCGCTCTTGATGACCATACTCATTAAATTTGTCAAAATTATTATAGTTCAAGCACAGAGCCACGTTGTCAAATTATTAATCCCGTGTTGAGTGCGAATTTGCTATTTTACGCATATTTACCATATTATGGTTAACGATAGGGTCAAATTGACTTTAAATTCGTGATCAGCGACCCAAAAAACACATATAAGCATATGTTGCACGCTGGTAAGGGTGTTATTCTAATTAATGCCGCCTAGATCGGGCTCTGGAACCAATGTGCGGCGTGGCGGAGGCGGCGCGGCGGTGTGTGGATCTCAATGACGTAATACGCGGCGTTTACCGCTCCACTCCAAGGTCCTATTCTACTATCTCGACAATACAACCCGCGAACTCGCTGATTCCACGCGACCAGTCGCCAGTTGCATGTCAGACGCCCTGCATCGCATGCCAATCGGGTCCATTGGCTCGTCTTTTATCGTGCGTCTTCACCGGTGTTAATTCGTAGTGCCAAAAACCACAACGGTAGTTTACCTCTACCTTGCACCAGTGCTCCTTGACCAGTATTCCCACTCCGTCGATTCTGTGCCTAACTAAAAAATTCCCATGGTCTGTGTTGGATTTTGTTTGCACCTGTAAACATAGTTTTTGTGATCGGCTTCGCTCCTACAATCGCCTCTTTTTAATCAATTTTGAAACCAAGATTCACATGCCCCTAAGCCTTAATCGAAAACTGCATCCACCCATTTCCAAGTGTTCTCAGTGCATTTCTGGTCTCTGTCTGTGTTAAGCTGTTTAGCAGTCGACTTTAAAGTCACGTGTATTTATCCCGGGCTCGAGGTAAGCGGAAATACATTCTGTACGGTTTACTAGAAATTGAATAGTTGCTCAAAAAGTTGCCATTAAAAGTGAGATTTTTGGGACATTTTTCAAGTGCACAATTCAGAAATGCTCTCGCGCTTACGAACCGAAATTTTCCCCGAGGCTGTGGAGGCCGAAGCCTTTGGACCGGACGTGACGAAATTCGTAAGTTTCGAACCAAATTCAAACCGCGGCTCCGACCAGTTTGCCTCAGATGTTATGTTCGGACATGTCACCGTAGAGAAGAAGAGCGGCGAGCGACTTACAGAAAACGTCGTCATAAAAATCCAACCATCCGCCGAAATAGCGCACCTAGTTTTCGACTGTGACGCGCAGTTCTCCAACGAAATATTATTTTACACAAAAATTATCCCCGCATTCCGTAAGTACGACAGCGATGACATCCTTTCGACCAACTTTAGTAAATTCATCTACGGGAAAGCCACCTGCGGGAAAAATCCGAAAGATGACATCATAATCCTAGAAGATATGACTGCGAGAGGTTACAAACTAACGGAGGAAAGACTTGCAATAGATGAAAAACACATTAACCTAGCCTTAGATAGGATAGGGAAATACCACGCACTGTCTTTCAAACTTCAGGCGGAGGAGCCTGAAAAGTTCCAGGAACTGATCTCACAGATCAAGCCAACGAAGAGGGATAACGACGGTTCTTTCGTCCCGAAGAATTTCCTCACCATGACGACTATGCGCGGGGTGAAGCCTTTGAGAGATGACCCCAGGTATAAAGATAAATTGGAGGATCTCTGCAAGCATTTTGAGAACGCCACAGAATATGCGGACAAATACCAGGAGCCCTCCGAATCTTTGAATGTGATCACTCACGGTGACTTTTGTAGGAATAATATGATGTTCAAGTACAAAAATAACGGAGAGCCAGATGGAGTGGTGTTTTTCGACCTGGCCACCATTAAATACTGCTCACCGATCGTTGATCTCAGCTTTTTTCTGTCACTGAACACATCGCCTGAGACAAGGCGGCTGCACTGGAACGAGTTTTTGCAAAGGTATTACGGAGCGCTATCCCAGCAGCTAGACGGGCACTCGGCCAGGCCGTCTTTTGAAACCGTTGAACTGGAGATGAGGAGGAGGGGAGTCTATGGATATTATTTGTGCTCCTTCTTTCTACCGTCCATGATGCAAACTAAAACCATAGAGGACTGGGATAAGGAAGCCAAGGACGAGGAATTCAGTGAGGATAGGTTGTTGCAAGAAGGCGGACCGCAAGCCACTGAAAGTCTTGCAGACTTGGTCAGGCACATGTTGGACACAAATTACATCTTTGAAGTCTAAGTCTTTCTGTGGTAAGTCCTAGTGGAAATATTTAACGAAGAATAACAACATTCCTTAAAATGATTAAATCTCTCAGTTCGAAAACGAGCCAACTCGGGTCTTTTTTACAATCTTAATTTTTTTGCATAGAAATACTCCTGTTCTGGCTTTACACAGTTTGAAAAGTCTCTTCAAAAATTTCGTTTTTCCGAGATGGGTCGTTTTCGTACGGAGAGATTCAATTGGTTTGGATTCGATTCAGAGAAACTAAGAGAATTGGTTAGTGCTGGCCAGTAGCTAGGGGAAATGAGGCTCTGGATTCTCTTATAGATTCCCCTATAGACAATTTTGGAAATGGGCCACCTAAAGATTGAAAAGGGAAGCACCACAAGATTTGTTTTCTCGTCAGACTTTTGCGACAAACGTGTTGAATACGTTTTAAAAATATATTTTTATGTGAAAAATTAGTGATAATGGTTTACATTAAAATTGGTAAATTCCAACTTCCAGCTGGTGAGAACCCCGTCTTGGATTTTCCGGGCAAAAGAACTTGGTTCCTCCACTTGTGAATATTCTAAAATCCCCAGTGAACTTTCTTATTACTAATTTTTATATAAGTGAGGTTATAGATGAATTTTGCTCTGAACTTTATGGTGGATTGACATTTTCCATGAGTTTCGGTCCATTATCGTCACCAAAATTCAGAGTAAAAAACAATCGTTTTCCCTAAAATTTGTTGTGGCTGTAAATTCAACCGGGCGCAATTTTGGGAATAAACTGTGTATAGGAAAAATACTCATTTCGATGCTCCTTCGGTTTAACAATTTAACCTTGCAATTCACAAAGCAATCTTACCTTGGAACACCCTGTATTACTTACAAATGTACTTATCTAAATCAAAATGAACTATAGCTATATTGTGACATGAGCCGTGTCATGCATAAATTCTTATGGACCTCAGGGCTCATATCAGAATGGATATAGGCCTTTTTATTTAAATACGCCCATAGAGAGGATGAAAAGTTCAAACCCCTCTTGGCTGAAATCAATCCAATGTGGGCAGGCCGGAAGTTAGATGCGGCCACATCTATGGTTGCCGAGCAATAGGGGGCGTTGACAGCTGAACTAGCACTTCATAGACTTTTTGAGTCTCAACTTCATCATCCAATGTATTAATGTAGAAATAATGAGCCATTCAACAACAATGCTTTAAAAAATTAAAAATAAGTTGCAATGTCACAGAGAAAAAATTGTCAAGATTTTCGACAGGAAAGGAGCAATAAACTTAAGTATAAGAGTTACTTGTTCACGATCTCGGAGAATTGGCAAAATTAGGTATTTTTAAAAGTGGAAGGGTATAAGAAATTGAGAGATGCTCTTATAATATCAAGAATGGTATCAGCTACCTAAATTTCAGGATTTTCCCGTGGAAGTCCCTTTGAGACCCACTCCCCCGAACTCCTTGCCATCCCTTTGACTTTATCTCAACATAGAGACCTATGAAAAATGACCTTCTGAAGCGCTAAGTATGCTGGAGCAAGCCCTAAAAATTATTTTCTGCGTAACTTAATCCTTCCGATTGCGTTTTAATGAAACAAGTTCGTGTCCTAAAAGAGATGCGATGCCCCATTTATCGCACTTAAACAACACACACACTTTACACAGTTATCAATTTCGCCCCACCAACAGAAGAGATATAGCATTTCACAATGTTTTTGAATCAAAATTATGCCTAATGATGTTGGATCGACCACTGTTCCAGATAGCTGACTACATAACAGAGAGCCCTTGGATGGTGCAAGCAAACTTCAGAGATGCTCCACGCATCTTTTCTGCCTGTGATTTCTCATTCTTAGGCCGAACAAATGAGTGAGATGCAAATCAAACTGTTGTGCGTCTGGGCTGCGTTTTAATGCAAATATACTGAAAGGAATGTTCGCTTGGTTAAGCTTGAACAAGATATTTTAGCAGATATGCCAAAATAGTTCTCGTAGATGTGATGAGATTGTTAAGAAGTTTTATCACTATGCCTCTAAGAGGCATTATTTTCTCGAGTCATTGTTCTCTGTTTAAAATCAGTCGAGGTCTTTTCATTCTCGGCGAAACTTTATTTTTTTGTGCGGTTAAAATTCAGTCTGCTCGCACCTGTAGGATTATGAATGCTCGTCAAAGTGCATGACTGAATCAAGTACTTAAAAGTGTAAAGTAATTTAAAAGTGATATGAGATTGTTCTTATACAATGTCCGCTCTAACAGAGCAAAGGATAGTCAGAGATGTATGATGTTATCGGCAGGAATTGTACTTAATTGTTGAAAAAAAAATATAATTACTTCTTTACCGAAATGATATGTTTTCAATTCTCAAACAGTCTATCTCTCTAACAATCTAAAGAAGGGAGCCTTTAAGGTAAACTGCAAACTTCAGAAGGGTTCATGCGCGCCGCTAACAAGTCACAATTGAATGCTGTAGATGAATATGTAAATCTGTGGAACACATTCCTTTTTTTTTTAAAAAAAAAAAATAATAATAATATCATAATAACAAAACTGAAACAAGTGGGTGCCGAAATTTATTGTTTTTATTACTACCCTGTGGACGATTTGAGGTTGAGGTTTGAAATTTTAACAGTGCTTCTAGGAGCTATCAAAGGGAAGGATATTGATTGCATGATCCTCTAATTGGAGGCAGTCTGAAACGCATGCTGAAGCTTTCATTGTTTTTAATTTGTTTACAGGAGGCTTGTATTGATTATGCTTAATTTGAAAAACATCAAAAATTGATATTTTAGCACATCTTTCAGATCTTCAACTGTTTATTACATATAATTACTTAAAAAATAACAGATTTGAACGAAGGGCCTTTGTTACTTCGCGGTTGGGGCAGATTTCGGGATTTGACTACAACATATTCACCGAAGATATAGATTATTTTAGCTGACAAAAGCACACAAAGTGCAATTTGTTTTTTCATCGAAAATATCGAACGGGTTCTAAATTAGAAGTTATGAAATGAGTGCGTAAAACAAAAGTGTAAACGTGTCAAAACTTCCCTATCTTCTCGGCGATAAAGGTTGTTGATCGTCAAACTAGCTCCTCGTTATCAATGTAGGTGGGTGTGGAGCAAAACTTGTTGAGTCGTGTCAGGTCTTGATAAGTATTACTTAATTTATCCTTTAAAGTCTAGTGACCCTCCTCAAACCCCTCCCCCGGGTCTGCCGATGAAATTATTTGGCCACTGCTTATATTCTTAATAATCGACATGCAATTGGATTGCACTTTGCAACAATGAGCCAAGAGCATTCTAATGTTTCAATGATTCTGTTAGTTAAATATTCTTCACAATAAAATTACTGAAGTCATGCACAAAATTAAAGTTACAAAGGTAATTTTCGTCTTCAATTTAAAGTTATTGGGAGTAAAGATTTGATTGTAAGACTTGTTTAGATGATCAGTTTACATTTGCAACGTAAAAAAAGTTGCACTATTTCAGCGACACTGGAGTGTTCTTGGTTCCCTTTTGCAAAATGCAATCCAATTAACTTACATATTCAAATTTAGAAAGCATTTACCTGGCTAAGGCTATTTAGAGAGTAATGAATGAACTTACTCGGACATTACGAGTCGCACCGGTGGGTAAAAGTTTTTCAGTCGTAAAATACAACCTTGTGCTTTTTTACTAATCCTAAAAATATTGATTAGCATACATGTCAAAAAGCAACAAAAATATTGAAATAAAGTTGAGAGTGCTGTAAATTTTCAATTATTTTTCTAAGAAATTGCGATATTTTGACTCCCGTTGGTAAATAAATGCCAATTTTAAGCAATCAATAAAATCAGTTCCGTTAAGTAATCAGAGAACTAGGAATTTGCAATGCAAAGAAAAATTGCAACTTATTTCAATTTCATCCAAATTTATTCAGATAAGAATAGCCCCTTCAATCAGTGGGTATGCAACATACATAACATATTGATGCGGTAGCAATACATACCATGAGATCGCAGTTCAAAACTTGTACTACCGGGGTGAATACGAAAAATGCCTGAATTTAATCGCATTGTAGAAAATTACTATACATCAAAACGATTTTACTGCATTGGAATAAGGAGAATGCAAAACATTCTGACGATCTCTGCAACAAACTAGAGAAAGACAAATTAACACTCAATGTCATCATCACTCAAACCACTTGAATTTTCCAGCCTCTGATTGACAACATCCGCGTGCTTCGTACACATAGTCATACATGAGAAGTGCTGTCGATTTGAGTAATCAAATTCAAGGTCATTTAGTAAATTGACGTCTAAAGTTCTTCGTTTTACAAACTTGAAGGCACGCTACTTTTATGCACCAATTTCAACAGAGGCATCGTTTACAATGTATTCCTCAATAACAATTCGTAGCCACTTGATCAAGAGACCAGGTTTATCATGTACTGTGACGTCACGAGTGTACCGGATCCGTTCCCGAGTACATAGGCTGGTCATTTGGACTGCATTTTGCAATTTGGAACTATAAATTCTGTCTCTTCTGGAAAAACACTCATGTGCATAGGGAAACTAATGGCACATACGTTCTTTTTAAACCGGGCTAGAATTTATAGTTCCAAATTGCAAAATGTAGTCCATTCCATGTTGGTCTTGGGTCTGATGCCACTATGGTTGTGCGTGGTGCTTCTCCCTGCAAAAGAACCTAAATGACCTCTTATGGACATTCCAGGAACTTTAATGTACTTTGCCTCCTTTCGTGCTTCCATTGGCTGCAAAACTAAGGGACTCGGAGAAAACTTTGATGGAAAGCGTGAAATTACCAAACCCTGCATCTCAATTTGCAACGTTACAAACCTTTCCCATTTCACTAGCCAAAGAACGCATAATTACGGTGTGTGCTGAACTTATCGTTTCTTTTACATTGTATTTTGACAAAATTTTCTAGAAAAGAATCCTGGAGCAAGGTCAATTTTTTCCCTGAAAAAATTAAAAAGAAGTGAAAATTTTTTACTAGAAAATTTACCATATTAGAGGTCCATGATTAGGTATTTTCACCACCACTGTCGTAAGTGAACACCGACCGGCAAGGTGCACAGAACAACGCGCGCATTGCAAGCAAGAAAAACCAGCTAGGGCGCCTTCAATTTTTTTCATGCAACAAGCGCATCCATAGACCACGAATAGTTGCATCCACGCCTGACATATCTAAAGATCTAATTGCTATAATTTTTACTAAGTGGAGGAAACCACCGCATCTTTGTGTGTATTCATTATTACGCTTTCAGCGATGTTACAAAACTGATGCGGGAAGAATGTACATATTAATTTGATTATTTCGGGGTGGAGCCAAGGAGGTGCAAAGAATTGATATCGGACTGGAGTCTGCAGACGCTCAAACGGTTCAAAGTTCCTACCAGATGTTACTGAATCGTAACCCTGTGACAATAAGAACAGAAACTTCTTCCTCGAGACATTTTCCAGATTCGCCATCCAGGTGGAGCTCATCAAGCTCCTGGCAATAAAATCGAAAAGCGGAACTCAATGCCTACTCTGCTCTGTTTCTTCTACTTTTTTTCTTCCTTCTTCTTCCTCTTAATTTATTATGTCTTTACATATCGGTCCTTTCTTATTCTAGCATGAAAACTGGTTGGTTCCGAAAATCATCACCTGGACTGAAACTTTATCATTGATCGGGGAAATTTCGATATTGACTGTTCGATTCTTCACAATTTCTTGTGCTTTTCACATCATTTTGATGAGGATTTCTATCTCTTAAAACCACAATGAATGAAGGTTTAAGAGTTGTATGTTTCACTGGTATTATTCTTTAACAAGTATTCCATCATTCGGAGGCTTAACGGTACTTTATCTAGGATTCACCTGAAAGTCGAATTTTTAAGAGAAAATCTTCACCCTATTTTGAAAAGATATTACATTAATTTAGAATACTGTTCAAAAAGATCCGTGGATTTTGATTTTTTATTTTATAAGCAGACATTTTCAGAACGTATCCTCCTTAAGTATATATTTATTTACAAAACTTTGAAACATTACCATCCACGAATTTTAACACTTATGGAACACGGCTACCAGAGCCGACATTGAAGAACAACATCACCTACTCATAAATAAATTAAACTTTCGTACTTACTCTGTATCTCTGCACTCAGAACCCGCGAACAAGTGGTCTGCATTTTGCAGTAAGGAACTAAAATTTCTGGCTAATTCATAAAAGCACCTATCTGCATAGGGAAAATAATGGCAAATAAATGTTGCTTCTAAAAGAGCCAGGAGTTGTAATTTCTAATTGCAAAATTTAGTCCAAGCGATATATCGTTGGTGGAGGATAGTTAGGAGATCTGGAGACTTGAGTATACAATATTCAAAGGTGAATTTGGCAGGTTGGAAGGATGCAGCCTCCTTTATGATTCGCATTCCATCCTCGATATTCGGTCAGGGGCTATTTTGGGCCCGAGACAATGCACACGCGGTCACAGGCCATCTTTGTGATTATGCATATTCATTTATAAGGGAACAGAGCCGTGCGCAGATATTATTCTAGGTAGCCACTGTAATACGATCATAAAACGCGAGAGAGCAGAGCTGTCACACGATCTTGGTTTCACATAACCTTTTAAGACCCGGCCGGCCACCCACCACCCCTCGAAGTAGATCCTAATAAACAACGTTATGGTCCTGATCGTCCCTTTATCTCCTACCTTTCCAATTATCTCTTTGAGCTTTAGCTCTCAATTCTGTTGTAGGAAAATTGCAGTTTAATTACGTGCCCCCCCCCCATGTTCCGATTGCATTAAGCTGTAAAATTATATTAGAGATTATTACCGCGAAGTGAGATCATTTCTCCACGTTACAGTATTTAAGGCGTCTATATTAAACAAGTGTTTGTCGAATCTGTTATACTTTCAAATATGTAAAAAAAAAACCTTAGTTCTCTCTGCGCCACCGTAGCTGATTGTGAGTGTGTATATCGTCAAGAATGCCACCTCGTAATAATGTTTTAGTTAGTTAGTTAATTTATTTAGAGACATTCAGCAACTCAGGCTATTAATGTCTTCTTAGTTATGTGTTTTAAGAATGTGCAATTCATGTGTACCTATCGCACACTAATTGAAATCTGACAATGTGGCAGTTTTGGCACATAGGGTCAGTCTCTATCTTATCGTCCAATTAAAGAGCGCAGAGTAATATTCTACCCGTTATTTCAATTTTGCTTAGTTTCACACGGGTTCCTAGTGTTAAGGCACCTCTAAATAAGTGTATTTACCAACAACCAACCACACTGAGGGACAAAAAGTTCGCCTTCATTCAGACGATTAGACAAAAACAGAACCTACA